TCATGAACTTCATTAAAATCTCTTTCTGAGTCTCTAATATATTATTATTAATAAGATATATATATATATAGAAAACTTTCAAAAATAAATTATTCCAATTATTTTATTATCGTTACTTACTGTGCTTGAGCCATGATTTGAATTTTAACACCTTCAGAGTGCAAATCATAAAATCTTAATTTAGCACCACTTGCTCTTTTATTATGAATTCTGCCAGCTACATGAACCACTTCATCCAAATGTTGTCCCGGTTCAAGATTTTCATATTTTTTAATAAAGGTTGGAATGGAAATATCTACATGGAATTTATACGGATAAGGACTTGGATTATGAGATTCTCGAAGTTTTCGAACTAGCTTAGATCGAATTTCAAAATATTGCTATTTATTTATTTAATAAAAAAAATTTTTTGTTGATAATTTATTTAACTGAAAAAAATTTTTTTTTATTAGTAATTTTTTACGTTTGGATTTAAATCTTCTTCTAAAGCTTCAGCATTTTCCCCTTTCTCGACTTTTACTGTAGCTGTAGAAGTTGTTGCCTAAACATGAATATCATAATAAATATATAATAATTATTAGATATTACAATCAATTGATTATTAAATTGTTATAGATTATTGCAAAGAAAGAACCATAGTCATTGATATACCTTCTTTTCCTCTTTTTCTCTCTTTTTAAGACGTCTTTTGAATTCACTTTTTTTTTACCAAAAAAGAAATCTATAAATATCCCAGTCAAAACAATTTATTTTTGAAATAAAAAATCTTATAACCTTTTAGATACTCTTTCCCCAGTAACTTCGTCTAGAATAAGGTTTTCTTGGTTTTCTTTAGCTTCTATCGTACTCATTTTTTTTTTAATTAGAGATCAAAAATTCAAATGTCGATCAGATAATCGGCTGCTACAGGGATAACGTAAGCCGGATGGACTTTTGATTAATCTTGGGGTTCAAATTTATTGTGGTGGCTTAAATATCTGTGGCTGTTTATTTTTTAATTTTCAGATTATCAAATTATCAAAGGAATAATGTATGATTTTATTTTATTAATAAAATTCTTTTTCTATTGCTAATTACAATATAAAAAAATAATCAAATAATTTTTATGTTTAAGAATTAATTAAAAAAAAATTTTGTATATTTATATTTATATATTTATATGATTGATTATTATATATGCATTATATTTTTTTCTTGAATTGTTTGATTAATTAATTAACCTTAACACTAAAGATTTGGACCAGCGGCAACTACTTCAGAAGTTGTTTTATCTTGATAATTTTTAAAGTTTCCAACGAAACGCTCAGCCAATTTTCTTCTTGTGTTGATGAATTCATCTTTTGATCCTTTCCAAGTTTTCTCTGGATTTAAAATTTCAGATGGTACGCCGCTAACAGTTTTTGGAATATTCAAATTGAACACACCGTAGTTCTCATACTCTGTATCTTTAGCAGTCAATTCATCATTATGGATTGCATCAATTATGGCACGTGAATATTTCAATTTGATTCTTTCCCCAACACCATAAGCACCGCCACTCCATCCTGTATTAACTAACCAGGCATTAGCCTTATGGTGTTCCATTTTATCTGCCAACATTTGTGCATAACGAGCTGGATGCAAGACTAAAAAGGGTTGACCGAAACAGGCAGAAAATGTTGCCTCGGGTTCTGTGATGCCATCTTCTGTACCTGCGATCTTGGCCGTGTAACCGGAAATGAAATGATACATAGCTTGCGCTGATGAAAGTTTTGATACTGGTGGGAGTACACCGTATGCGTCACAGGTGAGAAGAATTATATTTTTTGGATGACTGGTTGACACACAGGGTATCTTGGCATTTGGAATGTATTCAATTGGATAGGCACAACGTGTATTTTCTGTTAATGAACTGTCGTCATAATTGACTGACCGAGTGTATTGATCATAAACAACATTCTCCAATACTGAACCAAATCGAATTGCATTGAAAATCTCGGGTTCTTTTTCTGGTGACAGGTTTATACATTTTGCATAACACCCACCCTCGATGTTGAAGACATTATCGTCGGACCAACAATGTTCATCATCGCCAATCAAATATCGTTTTGGATCTGCTGAAAGTGTTGTCTTCCCAGTACCTGACAATCCAAAAAACACTGATACATCACCATCTGAACCTTCATTGGCAGATGAATGTAATGACAATACATTATGTTTTACCGGCATCAAATAATGCATAACTGTGAAACTATATAATATATAAATGTAAATGGGTAAATAATATAATTCTAAAAATAGATGTTTTTTTTACACGCACTCTCTTTCTTTACCAAACAACGATAACAAATAATACTTACACTCCTTTTTTCATTTCTCCAGCATATTCAGTTCCCAAGATTACCATTTCGTTTAATTTGAAATTGATAGCAACAGAGGTTGTGGAAGTCATTCCGGTGGTATAACGATTGGCAGGGAAAGCACCAGCATTATAAATGGTAAAATCAGGTGATCCATAATTTTCTTGTTCTTGAGGAGTTGGACGAATCAACATATTTCTCATGAACAAAGCATGATAAGCACGAGCACATACTACACGAACTTTAATTCTGTATTTTGGATCCCATCCAGCAAAACCATCAAAAACATAAATTCTTTTACGAGTGTTTAAGTAATCAACTGCGCGTTCACGATTGATGAGGAATACATGTTCAGGTAATTTAGTATTTACGGGACCCCACTATATTTTAAAAAAAGTAGGTGAATGATATATATATGAATTTTAGTGTAATTTAATTGGTCAAATTTTATTTTGAAAATTGGATTGGTCAATTAAAACAAATATAAACAAACACTTACCCAAATATCATTGGTTGAACTAGGCTCGTCAACAATACGTTTATCTTTTGGAGAGCGACCTTTCTTATTACCGGAGGCAGTAACTAAGGCACCGGCGGAAGAAATGGCAGAACCTTCTTCATATTTTAAAGCATCTTCGTATAATTGGGCGACTGAAGGATTCCATTTAATAGCAACACGATCGTAATCGATGTGTGCGTTTTCATGAAGCTCTTCTTCTACTTTTGTGTGATTTGAACTCTTCATTTGTGAATTGATAAATAATGATGAAGCAGTAGAATGATACTTGAAGTAAAAATAATTTTTGTTTTTACAAGAAGAAATTTTAGAGAGTTTCTTAAAATTATTATTATTATTATTAATTGTATTGTTATTAATATTATTACAATTGATGGATGAAAAGAATTTTTTTGTTTGAAGATTTTGAAATTTAGAAAATTTTCTAGAAATAAGAAGAGGCGAAAATTGAGGTTTATATACAAGTCGAGGTAATGAGTTCATTGATGCTATTTATTGGATTATCTAGTATTTATATTTATTTATATCAAAAAATCAAAAACTTGAGCTTTTAAAATTTTTTAAAAATAAAACACAAAATTTAATTGATTAAAATTTTAACAAAAAAAATTTTTAATTTATATATACATTTAAATATGCATGCATAAATGTGAGAACTACGTATCGGAAGAAAACGGCGAGACGTTTATAAACAAGCAATTGGTTTCTGTATCTGATGGCTTGCATACACGTTTAATATATATATAGAAGAGTGTGCCGGAAGAAGACGGTTGAAAGTGAATGAGCGTGTTTCGTGAAAATGATTAAAAAAGTTCGAAAAAAATATTTGAAATTAGAAAATTTTCATTTTTCCTTTATTGATTATTTGTTTGTAAAATTTATTCTAAAATTCGTCAAATCATTTAAATATTTTCCTACTTCTTTCTTTAAACGATAATTATCGGAACGGGACGGATTTATTTATAATTTGTTGATTTATTTATATAAGTACATATTATTTAGAAAGACATTAAAACGCTCCAATTATTATTATTTGTTATTCCCGGAACGGAACGGGTTCGATAATAAATAATTTGATAAACCAAAAGATAAATAAATAATAAATATATATGCACGAATAATCAATTAAAAAAATAGATTTTCTGATTATTTTTTCCCAAAGTTATTTGACAACTTTACAGATTTTAATAAAATTGTCCTTTTTATTTACTTAATTAATCAAACAAATAATTCACATTAATTAAAATAATTTCATAAATTAATAAAAATTGGAATATTATCCTTGTTCTTTTATCTTGAATTTACCCTGAAATTATCCCAAATCTGCTTAAAATGAACTTATCATCAACTATGGTTGTGTAGAATCATTATCATTATCATCATTAATATTATCACTACTAGCAATCAATGGAAATGGATATGCGCCACCAGCACTGATGCCAATTTCTTCATCTATGGTTGAACCAGAAGTTCTGATATTTAAACAATGTATATTATTTTCATTCATACTGTTACTATCACCAATATTTGAAGGATTAGTGATTCTGGATGATATTGGAGCAAAATGAAATTTTAATATTCTAAATTTATTATTATTGCTATGATTATTATTGAGCAGATCAAAATCTCTTCCTGCTCTTCCTTCAATATTATCATTATTACTAATAAACAAATCTGGTTATGCTCTATGCAATGCCAATTTTCTCGCCCTGATATATTCCATATCAACCAATTTCCAATTTAACAATCTGACAATCATTCTTTTTATTAAATTGATTTATATGTTGATGTCTTGTTTTCTGACAAAATTGTAAACATGTAATCAACTCATTGTTGAATTGATTCATTAGTGGATTTCATAAATACCATAATCTAATGTATTTCATTCAAAACCTAATAATTTGGTTGTGATGGATGGGACACCCATTACTATGCATTCAGCAGAAGTGTAACCCCATGGCTCATAATAACATGGGAACACGCCTAGATGACAACCCATACAAAATCCTCATAATCTAAGCCAATTAGAAGATTGTTTGAAGTTAGAAATTCAGGATGAAATATAACCTTTACATGATCATCTGAACTGTTAACTATATAGTTCCAGTTGATGTAATTGTGTCAATATTGGATCCGATTCAGGATCAAACAATATTATGAGCTAATATTGATGGAATTATGCTAGATTTTAGTGCCATGACATGACATTTCAGTAACACTTTGTCTTCATCAGTTAATAATTCAAAAGGGTCAACCACCACATTATTGATTTCCCCCCTGTATACATATTTGTGTGTTGAATACATATATATATGAATATAAATATAATATTTAAAGCATAAATAATAATATATTTATAAATGTATACATACCCAACATATCTTGCGGCCTTCTGAAACCAATTTTATCAGTAATGTCTTTTACAGTTGTTTTGTGATTACTTGGCCTTTCAAAGCTCAAACAGCAAAAAGATTGTATTTTAGTTGGCATGATAATAATACAATTACTGAAATTGTAAATTGCATGCTTTTAACCTTTGATTTAATCCTTCAAAAGCATGAATAAATAATTGAAATATGTTTATACATATTATATGCATATATTTATATCTACAATAATAATCACATTCATTATGATGTTAACATGGCAAATTAATACTAACTTGCTAATGATTCAATAAACATATCAACATCTTAATTTTTGTAGTGATAATGACCAGAAATAAAAAAAATACAAGGTATTATCCAGGGTCAATTGTAATGACCCATAGAAATGACCATTAACAAATCCATGAATTTTTTCTTTATTTCTTGCATGTAAATTTTGAAATTCATGTATTGCTGAAAATTTCAACCACTTGGAAGAACTCCATCTTAACAATAAGTTTTTACAAATTATTATTAGAATAATTATATTAATATATATATAGTATCAAACAATAATACATGAGGAGCATCTTTGATTAATCATCTACCATATATCCATATTACACTTTTGTTTGACATTCTATCAAGAACTCCTTTAATATGAGGATTTTCTGCTTCCACTTCTGCAGATGCTGTCTTGATGGATAATGGACCAATCAGTGTATACCTTTCACAATACTCATGAGCTGTCACTGGAACCTTGGGTATAGATTGGTCCAACTATAAATTATAAAGGACTAATGATAATTATTATTATCACCCAGTCACATATTGTGTAATGAAGTAGATCATTAAGTTATCATTCAGGTTTATTCATCACCTATCAGGATTTAATAGTTATCATCCCTGAGATGAATAAGACCAGAATGATAACTATCAAAATCTACAATCATACATTATTGTGATAACTCTCTTATTATTATCCCTCACTTCATGGGGGATAACTATTATTTATTACTGTTACATTATTACCTTTATTGGCAGCTTCCCCATGCAATTTCAAATAAATAAGACTATTAATATCTCATTGAGTCATGTTTTTAACTTTAATTTGTTATAAAAATTCAAGGAAAAAAATAAAATTTTTTTTTTGAAATTTAACAAGGCACTGCAAGCAAGTTTTAGGGGTTAACATTCTAGTTAACCAAGACATCAGAAAAGGCATGGACAATTAGTATCCTTCAAAAATTGGTAATATGTAAAGTTAAGACTAATAACTAATAATAACTTTAATCTAGATACCAATATCCAAAAGATTGCAATACCTGTGATTAGGACTAAGGTTTTTGGTCAAAACTGCTTCTATTAGTAGCCGAAATTGCCCAAATACTTTGGGCAAAATTATTTTTTTATAAGCCCAAACTACTTTTTGTTATTAGCCAAAATTGGGCGAAATTATTTTAAAGTTGTTTAAGTTAAAACAAGTTGATTCATATAGTTTTTTAATGTTCATGCTTATAAAAAATGTTGAGAAGCCCAAATTGCCCCAACTAGTTTGGGCTTTGGGAAAACAGTTTGGACTAGAAATCTTAATTAGGACTAGAGATGTGGCATGCGCATGAAAAAAAATGCAATGTGCATGATTTTTTTTTTCAAATCATGCAATGTCACATAGACAATTCTATCCAATTAAAATTTTTCAAAAAAAAATAATATAAATTAATTTTATTCATTGAAATGTCAAAAATGTCAAAATCAAAAATTTGGCTTCATTTTGTCAAATTGGGTAGAACTGATGGTTTTAAACAAAATAGGACTGATACAAATATTGTGACTATGAATTAAATCATGCAGTTGGAAGGTGTGAACTGCATTTAAAAAAATGTATCTCTGTACCAGTTTCTGTTCTACAATCATTATTCAGTCCAAACTTTCTCAAGATACAAATTTGTTAGCATCATCATCATCATCATCAATTAGTACAATTTCAACTAATTTGCACAGTAGATGACATAGATTTAATCACATGGTGTTTTTCTTCAACTACAGTGCAGATCATCTATAATCATTAATTGCTTATACACAGTGAGTCTCGGTATAGCGGATGTCTAATAAAACTCTCAGTTTAATGGATCAAAGCTCAGAACTGTCTATAAGTAAATTCTCTTGGTTTAATGGATTTACTAATTAAATCTTGAATTAATCTCGGTATAACAGATTTTTGAAATTTTGTTCTAATTGCCCAAATTATCCGCTATACTGAGACTCACTGTGTATATAGTAACAATTGGTCAACTCCAAAATGCTAAAACAAAAAAAAATTATATCATTTTAAAAAATTTAACCGATAAGTTTTATTGTTCATGACTCAAGCTTCAAAAC